GAAGCCTTTTCCTTCCTTCAATAAATATTTGTGAAATGAACAGCTTTGAATGGTTACATTCTTGGTGAACACGGCCCTCTATATTCTGCTCTGTTTCACTTAAAACTGTGTCATCAACCGTTTTCCATCTTACTGGATATTATTTTTGACAGCCGGTTAAGTTTAGGAAATGCTCCAACAAAAGCTGGCATCGCTCTAGCTCCAGGAGGTGCCTTCTTTCACTCGGAAGTAGATCTGTCTCCAGGTGTGTGAAGATGGAGGAGCCCATCTTCAGAGGAGCACCGGGGCTGGAACTGGAAACTCACACCCAAAAAGACTCCCTGGGAATCCCTTAGAGGGTGTAAAACCTTACTGAATCTTGGTGATGAGAGCTTAAATCCTGCCTACTCTAGCCCTTCCTTTTTAGAGAAATGACCTTGATTTGTTTTTTTTCCAGTATAAAAGTAATCATATTCACTTTAAAATATGCAAAAATAAACAAAAAAATGAAAAAGGAAATCATGTCCCACCACCCAAAGATAATCACTAATAGCATTTTGGGGAGTCATGTTTGGGGTTTTTGCACACATAATATTATGTTTGATAAAAAACATGATTGAGATCATACTGTGAGTATATGCATCTAAGGATTATTTTATATATAAATTTAAGGATTCTTATATATATTTCTTTGCTTAATTTTATAAGAAGTTTTATTCATTCATTCAACAAATATGTCAGTCACGTGGTAGGTGTTGGGGATAAGTGATAAATAAAATAGACACTGTCCCCTTTTCTCAGGGAGCTTATATTCCAGTCACTGGGCCTGTCCTGCATCCTTAATCATAATCTATTGTGGCATATTTAGCTATTTATACACCTATTATAAATAATTCTGTGAAAGACGTCTGTGCAGAGGACTTTTTCTGTATTTGGAATTATCTCCTGAGGAGAGATTTCCAGAAATGGAATTAATGGGTTAAAGGGCATGGACAAATTCAAGCCTCTTGAAGTGTACTGCTAACCTGATTTCCCAAGAAGCTGGAATGATTTGCACTCCCTGAACAGCGCCTGCTTCATTGTACCCTGGCTGCTGTTGAAAAATTACCATTAATGAGAAGACCCCGTGGTCACTCGATCCCATTTCTTTTTATCCGTTCATGAATGTCACTCCAACATCATCAGTCTTCTGGGCTCCCCATTACACAAAACTCCTTCAAAGGCTTGTGTAATCTTGAAGTCTCTGTTTCATTTCCTCCCATGCTCTTTCATCCATCTAAATAGCTCTTGCCAAGGTAGCCAGTGACCGCCATGTTGCCAAATCCTATGGCCAATTCTCAGTCTCATCGTATGTGGCCAATCAGTGGCATTTGGCAGTCAGTCAGTCCCTTCTCCTTGAAGCTTCTGCATGTGGCTTTTTCAGGATGCCACACAGGATTCTCTCCTGCCTCACCAGGCATTCTTTCTGAGGCTCCTTTCCTGGGCTCTTGTCTCCCTGACCTTGGAACATTGTCCCATTCCCCAGGGAGCCAGGGAGGCCCATCTGCTCTCGTTTCTGGGCTCATCTAGGCTCCTGGCTTTCAACACCACCGAATGTTTCAATGTCCAGTGCTCCCAAATGGGAATCTCCAGTCTGGACATCCCCTTGATCTCCAGATTTGTCTATCCAGCCACTACTTTGTGTTTACTGGGCATCCAATCAGCATCTCAAACTTGGTATGTTCAAAAGCAGACTCCTGACTTGCCCCCTTACCTCTTCTTCCTCAGACTCCCCCCTCAGTGAATAGCAACTCCCTCATTTCATTTGGGTCACCATATTGGGACTGACCTTCCGTTCACACCCCACATCCAATCCCAGCAAGTTCAGTAAACTCTGCCTTCAAAATGTACTTAGAATAACCATTTCTCCCCTCCCCGGGGCCTGTCACCTTGTCCAAGCCAACATACTTCTACCAAAATTATTGCAATGGCTTTCTCTCTGGTCTCACCCAATCAGATCTGTCCTTTAAAGCCTAGGTCAGGTCCCTCCACACCTCCATTCAAAACCCCTCATGGGTTTTCTGCCACTCAGAGTAGAATTCACAGTTCACGGCCTGCCTGGGCTGCCATCTGCCCGTCTCTGACCTCACTTCCTACCACCCCTTCCCTTGCCCACCCCGCCCAGCAGTGCTGGCCTCTCTGCCGTCTCTTGAAGATTCTAAGATCGCTCCTACCTCAGCCGTTTGTGCTCCTGCTCTGGCTGCTTGCAATGTTACCCCTGATACCAGTGGTTTCACTCTCTTGCTCCCTTTACCTTAAGTGAGCCTTTATCAGAAGATCACTTCCTCAACTATGCTATAAAAATACAGCCTCCCACCCCCACCCCACGGTCCTATTGCACACACATTTACTGCTTACTGTGGAGTGTCTCACTTCCTCATGAAGGCAAGGACCTTGCATGTTTCATTCGCTGTCTAGCTCTCAAAGGAGTGCCTGCAAACAGAGGGTACAGAAGAAATGTCTGTAGAGTAAATGCATTTGAACACTCTTATGATTGATCGGTGGGGACAGATACTTCAACCTCTTATTTCTGGAGTGTTATGTGGTTTTGTGAGATTTGGGTCCCAGGTGTTACAGTTGTTGTTAGCCAACTGTGTGACCCTGAGTGGCTCCCTCTGCACCTCGGTTTCTGATTCCTCACCTGTGATAACTACTTGCTGCTTTGTATTTAGGGTCCCAACACTGTGCTAGACACTAAATGCATTGCCTCCCCACAACCCTGGGATTGAGTTGATAAAAGAACTGAAGCTCAGAGAGGTGGAAAACTTTACCCAAGTTTTCAGAAAGAGCTAGTTTTGAAACCCAACTTGATGGATCCCAAAGTCCATGACTTGGACTCTTGAAGCATGAAAGAAGGTTGATCAGATGGCCTTTAAGCTGCCTTCCAGCTTTTAGCTAGAGCTTGAACTTCACTAGCGACAGAGTAGCACTGCAAGGTTTTAAGCGGGGGAATAGTGTGGTCAGGTTACAATGAGAGAGAACACTTGCTGAATTGGTCTGGGTTCCCCTAAAAACAGAAGCTGAGGCAGAGGCTTATGGGCTTTTTCTTTATTAGAGAATCCAATCCCAGGGAACAGATTGAGGGACCTGGGGAATGAGACAGGGAAGGAAAGACGCCAATTCCAAGATGTGTTATTGAGCTGGCTGCTTCTAAGAGGCAGCTGATTACTTAATTTTTGGTATAACTATCTTAGGACAGTCTGTCTTGAAGGAGAAAGAAGTAAGAATTTATCTACTGGCTCCTGATTTCCACTTGTCAAAGGCTTGCCCCGAGGAACCGTGCACTTGTAGACACTGAACACACCTTCCTGTGAACAGAGCAGCTCTGGGAAGAGGTGAGGAGAAGTGTTCTAAGGGTGTGAGATGAGGTGGTATCAGATGGCACCAGTGGGAAGTTAGTCGAGCCTTGCAGGACTGGATAGACCAGATCTGGTTTTTTGGTTTATCTCTGGACATGCTGTATTTGAGGCCCTTGGGTGTGCCGATGGATGGTCAGATGCTTGAGTCTGGGAGCTCCAGAGAGAGCTTTAGCCATGGCCTGACCAAGTCATGCTGAGGGATGGGGCTGGGATGTGTCTAGACTGGGATGTGGGCTGATCTGGAACTGGATGTGGGCCAAAGGAATTCCAGTTTCCCAGAGATGAATCTGGTGACAGGGCACTGAGATCAGCAAACAAGGTGGGCTCCTGGGATACGAGGTGGGCCAGTGCTCAGCAGGGAGGCCCGAGTGGACAGGGCAGAGTAAGCCAGGCACAGGAGCTGTTTCCCCAGAGATGACACCAGGTAAGTTGCCCTTCATCTGTGT